TGAGGAACGAACTCTCCCATGTAATCACCTAATTTGCTTGTCTCTTCCTTTTAGTGCTGAAAATGTCATCGAAAGTATGTGTTGTCTATCAAAACGTAAGGTTTTGACCCGACGTCAGTGTGGGTATTTTGAAAGTCCTGAAAATTTTTCATAGACCAGTGTTTTTATATTGTTCCTCTATACTATGCTGATTTACCTAAGAAAAAGTTTATTATTAATATTTACCGTAAAAATGTTTGTTAACATTTTGCTGGAAATATGTAAAATATATCTTGAACTGCTTCATTTTGTTCATAATTTACATTTAAAAAAATCCTTAAAATTTTAAAAATGCTTCAAGAAAACTTACCATTATTGTTTTATTTCATAAAACCGTGATTTTTAATTATGCAACTTTCTGTCACGCGACTGCTTAAGGCCTCAAAGCATTATCTTCGTATAAACATGGGAAACGATTGAGGCAGACGCCTGGGAAACTGCGCATAATGTGTTTGGAAGAACATCTGAACAGGACATCGTAGGACAACGTCTGTAAGCTCTAACATTCGGCTACAGCAGTACCGTTCGGCTTTCCTGTGAATGAAAACAACGGCCTCACTTGCGTTTATCCCGAATTATGTGGCTTTCAATTAAAAAAAAAGATCGCAGTAACTGATGCAGGAACAGATAGCAGTAGAAGGGCAATTGTATGAAAACAAACATAGAGTGAGGCCATAAATGAAGAAGACTATGCTTATGTTGTAGCAAATAATAAGAGTCGCTGAAAAGTCGTTCGCAATGAGTTAAGATGACTCAAACGGACAAAATGATGTGAGATGCATGTCGCACTGTAGGTGTTCAAATGTAATGAAACTTCGGCCTGTCCATATGGCCTCCTCGGCAATGAGCAGCAAAAGGAGGTGCAATACGCTGTGAAATCTGGTTACGAACGAGTCATTTGTTATTTCAGACACTCAGGTGTACTGCACTTATAACTTTTAGAAGTTTCCTGCATTATTCGATTACCACAGGGAACCATTCAGCGTGGGAAAAGAATAACAATTTTATAGGATCAGCACTGAAGGCAATTGCTAGTTTTTCAATAAATTGAGGTAGCCTCCCTTTTCCTGGTCAGATTACAACCTGTAATCCTGTGATTGCCAGCATCGATAGTTGCTAGACCAGTAATGACAAAATATACAATTTACACTGATAACTATAATAATAATCTGTTCCGTAAGAAGACGGCATGGCCAAGTACAAACCCTCATGGAAGAATTGCCTCATCACCGTCCATAATAATATCTAATGAAAGCAGGAAGCAAGTTCGTAATTATTTCATTATCTGCTGTTTTAACAATGAGGACTTGTGAGCAACATGAAGGCATGATTTGACTGATGCGCCAAGGATAATATAAATAAACATGTTTT